TGGTGGGTTTCCTTGACCCTCCCTGGGGAGGTGTTACCTTTTGGCAGACTTTTTCAGAGGTGGAGTTTGGACTGAGGCAACTCCCATGGGAGGGAACTTGGAATGGAGATTTCTGCCCAGCATTTCAAAACTGGATGCCAGGGGGCTGGGGTAAAGCCCCCAACTAGATGTTATAGACTCTGTATAAAGGGGTGCCAGGGAGCTGAGGTGATGCTTCCAATCACTAGATCTATTAATATTTGTCCATATTGTGCAAAGGTACTTAGTGGCAGTGTTTTAGAAATATTGACAGAGACCTAAATGATGTGGTTTACACAAGGGTTTACACAAGGACTTCATAAGACCAAAGCAAGTTTATAAGGGGAACAGTATATGGTGGGCCTGGAAAGGTCATAGTGAATTGTGTTAAGTAGCATGACTATACCCTAAGTGCTTTGGAAAGATCCCGAATGTTTCAAGGGCTCAGTGTGGTGCAGAGGCACATAAAAGAGAGACTGAAGAAAGAAATATTCTGGGAGGCATGTATGACCAGGATCCCTCCTAGGGAATCTTGGGCTTATTCATTATCTCATCCTCCTAACTACATGTAATTGGGCTAACATCTTTAATTCTTACTCTCAAAACCTTAAAGAATGTTCAGACACCTCTTACTGACTAGTGAAGGGCTTTCCAGAAAACAAGTTGGGTTTTGTTTGTTTTGTTTTTTGCCTTCCCCTTTTTCTTGCCTTTTTTGTCCCCTTCACAAAAGAGTTGGTAGTTACTTTTCTTGTCTCTGTGACCAAATACATGACAATAAAAACAGTATATTAATGGAGGGATGGTTTAATTGTGCCTTGTAGTTTGAGAATAATCCAATCCATCATAGCAGGGAAGGAATGTCAGAGAACACTTGGCAGCTCTGTAGCCACAGGAGACCTCAGCAGCTGGCTGCATAGTATTGGCAGATGAGAAGCAGAAAGAGATGTATGCTGATGCTCAGTCAGCTTCCTCCTTTTTACCCTTTGACTCGGTAGGAAGCCCTGGAACACAGGGTGGTGCTACCTCCCGTAGCATCTTCCTACCTCAATCCAACCTCTCTAGAAACCCCCTCCAAGGCATACCCAGAGGTATTTCTCAGGTAATTTGAAATCCACTCAAGATGGTAGTAAAGACTGGCTATTAACAAAGAGAACAGTAATTATTGCCTTAATTTATTTTCTGACCCCAATTCAGAAGTCTTGGCAACTCTGGGACCTATATGATCCATTCATCCATGTGCCAATTCATCCACTGTCCATTCATCCAGGCAGTCCTCCATGCATTCTTCTCTACACCACCATCATTTTGTGCATTCTATAATCCTGTCCTTTGAACATCTTTCTCCTCTCATCCAAATATCCACCCTGGTCCATCTATACATCCAAAGATTCATTCATCCAACTACAAGGTATTGAGTACCAACTTGGTAGGAAGCACTCTGCTAAACTCTTGAGTTATAAAGTTGAAATATTTTCCCATGAGGATATTGTTATTGAGGAAACAGAAAAACAAAGTAATATTTAAAGCACAATATATAAAATGTCCAATGCAGAGTGTCATGGGAACATATAGAAAGGAAGCCATCTCAAATAGAAGCAAAACAAATAAAGATCAGGAATGGTACCTATCAAGGATTTAAAATGTTGTGTAGGTGCCATCCAGAGAAGAAACAGGAGGAAAGAGTTTCAGACAAAGGGAAGGGCATGTCAGAAACCTGAAAGGATGTAGTTATCCAAGGGTACCCAGTAGCTTAGTGAGACCAAAGGAAATTTGTAAGGAGAATGAAAGCACAGCAGGTGATGAGCCTTGAAAGATCACTGTGGACTGTGCTAAAGACCATGACTGTATCCTGAGAGTTTTAGAAAGAAGATGGGTGTTTTTAGGGTTCAGCATAGATCTGGGGCATGAAAAGAGATAAGAAATATTTTAAAATGTATGTGCAATACAGTAAAAGAGAATACTTCATACCAATTCTAGTTCCGTCTTCCGTAGCACCACCACCACTACCAACCACATGTCTGGCCTACTCACCTTGATTTTCTCCAGTTCTGAGGAAGTATGGCCCTGCTGATCTGCCCTTCCTGCAGGAAGAAACTCAGCCAGCCTTACCTCAATCATACCTTTGATCTCCATTCAAAAGAAAGAGTACAAAGGTGCCTGGGTCTTATGTTGTTTTGTTTTGTTTTCCCAACTCCAGAATAGTGGCATTTTAATGAATGAAGAGCAGGGCACATTTTCACCAACACTCTTCTAGTCTGTGAAGTAGGCAGTTGATACTGTGAGATACACACTTCCCCTTTGCAGCACTAAGTGTCACACCATTTTGAATGGGAGAGAACCTGTCTGTTTTTCCTCAAATTCATTATGAAATCCCTTCGGCCATCACTGAACTTGCAGATCACCTACGATGACACGCTGTCATCTCATCAAGCCTCCTCAGAAAATGAAAGCAGAGAAAAAGAACAATAACCTTGGCCCCACAGAGTAGGAAGTCTCTCTCCCCTCAACTCTACCAATTGGCTGAAGGAATCCCTAGGAGCTGCCTCCCTTATGAGTAATTGTGTTTCTTCAGAGAAGCCACATATATTCTGTCTTCAGCTTTTCATCCTCAAAACAAGATGGAAATGGGGGTAAGCTTTCAGGACTTGCCAGTTCTGGCCTTTAATAATATTATTGACCTGCTCACATGAGCTAACTCATAAAATGGACTATATAGGAATAAATAATTGCAACATTGTGAGGACTGCAAGCTCTGCAGCCTTGATGCTACTTCTTCCAATTCCTGGTCAAATATTTTGGAAACATTATGTAGCCATCCGATGCCTCGGTGTCCTCATCTGCACAATTCGTAATGATAACAGTGTCATAGGTATATTGAAAGGATTATGGTGATGTGGGATTTCCCTCTGTATGCTGTGAATGCCATTGGTTAAAAAAAGAAACTGCTTGAGTCTGTGATAGGAGAGAATAGAGCTAGGCAGGGAAGACTAAGCTGAATACTGGGAGGAAAAAAGGTGGAGTCAGGGAGAAGCCATGGAGTCACCAGAGGAGACATGAGCTGCCAGCGGGAACCTTGTCTGTAGGCCATGAGCCTCGTGGTAAAATATAAAATAATAAAAATGGGTTAATTTAATATGTAAGAGCTAGCTAGGAATACTCCAGAGTCATTGACCAAGCACTGTTTCAAATAATATAGCTTCTGCGTGGTTATTTTGGGAGTCTGAATGACCGGGAAATGAACAAGCAGCCTCCTACAACAGATTATGTGTTAGGGATGTGGTTTAATGGTAGAGCATTTGCCTAGTATGTTTGATACCCTGGGTGTAATACAAAAAGATTAAATGAATTGATACACATAGTTTAAAACAGAAGATGACATATTTAAACGCTTCATAAATTTAAGTTACTGTTTCTAATTGGAAATCCTAAGTTCCAGGACCTTTGTGGGGTTGGAACTTCATGAGTAGGAGAAGCCAATGAAAGCAGGACTGTCTCTAGGCCCTGAGCCTTTTCTAATCCTTCTTAGAGGGGAAAGTGGTTCTCCGCAGTTGTCTTCAAACTTCCATTGGGATGACACTTTTCAAGTTCTTCTTCTTCAATATCCCTGTGGCAAGATTCTTAAACAGAACCTCCTGGACCTGCATCCATTGCTGTTTGCATTGTTATACTGCAGGAGCAGCTTGCTGGCATCTCTTTCTCAACAATAAGAGACTGGCGCTCTAATACAGAAGGGACTCGGAAACCTGGGATCTCCGGCTATTGTTTCTTGACCTTGACCTTTTGCCCTTAAACTTTTTCTGTGGTTTGCCTGGCTATCAAAATACTAGGAATGAACTGATAGTGTGGTTCAGTTGTAGCACATTTTGGTAGCAACACGCAAGGTCCTGAGATTCCTCCCCAGCACTGCAATTAACAAGCAATCAGTGGAAAACTTGTAATCTCTTCAAACAACAATGAATTCTATGAGTAAGAAAACAAAACAATATACAGTTTTGAACTCATCAAAATGCTTATTCATTGAGAATATACTAACTAAAACTCATTACCAATGACTGCCCGATAGTGCTCAATAACAAGAATGGAAAACACCCTTTTAAGTTCAGTATTTGATATAGTCTGACTTTCACTTGCAATATGACCTTCAGTTAATTACAATGAATGCAAACTTTTTCTGAGTAATTTTTTTCAGACATAAATCAAAAGCAGATTCAACATTCTTCCCTAATGGAAATGTCAGCGCACAGCTGGAGAGGTGACTCTGCTAGAAAGTGTAACCATGGAGCCTAGAAAACCAGCAGATGACAAGAGGCCAGTGCCTCTCCCCTAAGGCGGGTTAAAAGCTGACTGCGCCACAGTACACTGTCACACACCTGCTGGAGCCAGATGGCTTCAGACTTGATGGACAAGAAGCTGCCATGGATGCCTGAAATTTGCTTGGTGCTGATGGCTTAAGTCAATGTCGATGGGGCTCCTTGGTGTTGGATATGGGGGTGGAGTGGTCTCTCAAGTTCAAGCCCAAGAGCCTCTTGGAGAACTGTATTTCCAGAACCCAGGCATTGGTCAAAGAATGGGTGGTTTGGACAAGCAGAGTAGGTAAAGGATAGACTTGGTGCTTTATACCTCTGGCTGTCAACATTGTATTCCATTTTGAGCAAGATAATTAGACTCTGTCAGCCTCAATTTCCACATGTGTAAGGTGAGAGTGGGGCATGAAAAGAAACAGAAGTGTAAAGCTATTGTCTTTAAATGGGGTTGAAGTTCAAAAAGCCATAGTTGTCCCTTCTATACATTGGGAGAAGAGGGTAGTTTTTGTGTGACCTCTTTTGACATCACATGTACACTTCTGAGGTTGGCCAAAACCAGATAATCCTCTTGGAAAAGGAGTTTGGAACAAATTAAAGGGAAAGAAATGTTCCAACAGGCTGCTGCCCCGTCTCCCTGGCTCACCTCTGCCTCACAGGCTTATCCTATGCTTCCCACAGCTTTGACAACTTGATGACTTCCCACCTGAGACCACCTCCTCAGGACTTGACTTCTTATGCTGCAAATTACTCAGATGATTCTAAAACCTGGCGCCCTGTGGAGGTCTCTCGATTGGTCAGCAAGTACCAAAGCGAGATCTCTGACAGGAAAATATGTGCCTCTGCGTCGGCTCCGAAAACCTGCAGCATTGAGCGCATCCTGCGAAAAACGGGGAGGTTCCAGAAATGGCTGCAGGCCAAACGACTCACACCTGACCTAGTGCAGGTGAGTGTGGGCCTTGGTAGAATGAGGGGTGGCAGGAGATATCCATTCATAGCTCACAGCTCAGTAGTTCTCAACCTGTGGGCCGCGACCCTTTTGGGGATTGAGTGGCCCTTTCACAGGAATCACCTAAAGCAATCAGAAAATCCAGATATTTATATTATGCTTCATACAGTAGCAAAATTACAGCTATGAAGTAGCAATGAAAATAATGTTATAGTTGGGGAATAACCACACATGGGAGCATGTGCCAGTAATCCCAGTACTCAGGCGGCAAAGGCAGGAGGAGCATTACACAAGTTGGAGGCCAGTCTAGGCTACAAAGTGACTCTCTCTCTCTCTCTCTCTCTCTCTCATGTGCGCACACACATACACACACACACACACACACACACACACACACACACACACACACACACCATTGACTCTGCTCTGCCCCCTTAGCAAACCTGACTGGTACATGTGGAGACTGGAAAGCAGGCATTAGGAAGAGTGCAGGGTTGATCTCAAAGGCACCATCTGACACTGCATAGAGCTGAGCTTCCCAAGGTTGTCCTTCTGCTCTGCCTTCTTGCTCACAAGTCCATCCTGAGGCATATAGTCCCTCAAGGCAAGAATATTTCCATCTGGAAACTGGGAAACAGCAAAAGAAGGAACTTCCTAGTGTACAAGATGCATTCTAAAGTCTGTGGGGATCTCTACTACCACCACAGCCACAGGCGAGCAATTCTGTCACAGGGAAGCGAAGCAGTAGTTCGGTTCAGCATGACTAAGTAGCCAGTGTTGGTTCACACTTTGGTAATATGAACACAAATAATTTTTCAGGCATTTGAGTTTTTAAACAGAGTAAAATTTGGTGAATAACTTCCTGTTGATAAATAACTCAATCCCGTGTGCACAAGAAAAATTAAGACATGACTACATTGATAGGTACTCTTTGTAAAGTACATGTGACATCTCCCAGAAAGACAGATCTTATTCATTGACGAGCTCATATCTTGGCCACACAGATAGTGCAAAAGTCGCCAGTCATCTCTGCTCCCACTTTTATGGGTGAAAAACGGGTTATGTGTAACCCTGTAACATTCCTGGTTCCCCTAGGGCTTGTCTGTGAGCACAACAACCACCATACCTCTCACAAAAGGCATTAAAATGTTGCTAGATGAGCCTTAAGCTCTAGGCAAGTGTGGTTCTCAGACTTCCTAATGCCGAGACCCTTTAATACAGTTCCTCATATTGTGGTGACCTCCAACCATAAAAGTATTTGATTGGTATTTCATAACTGTAATTTCGCTACTGTTATGAATAATAATGTACATAACTGATATGTGACCCCAGTGGGGTCACGACCCACAGGTTGAGAACCACTGCTCTAGACTCAGGTAAACTCTTTTCCCTTTGAGTTCTAGACACTTCCATATTAACAATAGATGTGAGTTATCCCTTGGGTCTTGACAAGTTCAGAGTACCCTTCTGATACATCTAGGGTCACTTGTGTTGATGTATGTAGACATCAAGGCATAGGCCAGAGCTCCATGGAACATAAAAACTGTGCTTGAATCTAGGATCTCGCACTGAAAGTTGTAGCAGAATGAGAAGAGACAGAGTCCCAAGAAAAATTGGGCGTTTCTGGTTCTCATTCAAACATTCAACAGGTTCAACACTGTGCTTCAGCTGTGGATTTGGAGATGAATCACACACAACCTCCTGCCCTAGTCTTTTGGCTCAGTGGTAGAGACAGATAAGACCACTTTCACTACCAACTCTTTCATGTTGCGATGACAGTCTCTATGGGGACAAGGACCAGAGTACTGATTTAAGTCTTTTATTCACTGACCAATGGCCTTGAATTTAAGCCTTAGACTTGTCCTACTCTGCTTTGACATAAGACCCTCCAGGTTCTGACACTCTTTGATTTCTGTGGCTCTGCCACGTTTACTTGACAGACACACCTTACATCTACCGTCACCAAGTGTTGTGCTGGGCTTGGATTTTCTCATTTCTGGAGGCAGACATGCTACCGTTGTACTGCGAGATCCTGGCTTCTCTCATTTCTAAAATGGCAGTACATGCTCCTTGTCTGCCTGATTCCTTCATCCTCATATTCTTAGAAGTAGGAAATGCTTTAGAAAAACCCCATCACTACAGAAATGCATGTGGAGTTTTGGTAATAATTGAGCCTCTTTTTTTATTCATTATGCAAAATTCTTCATCTGCTTTTTCATTTTGTATTTGACATGGAGCTTGCAAGTTTCTCTTCTTCCTACCCAAACAACATCTCTTCCCAACACTCAATACAACAGCCCAAACCTGAACTATTATCACTTTTCCTTGGCCCTCCCCTAACACATCTTTTCATCCCCACTGGACCTAAAAAACAGAAAAAAAAAGTATTTAAAAAAAACAGAAAAAATATCACCAACAAGTTTATAAATTCAGGAAAAACTCCATTGTTTTTCTATTCATGAAGAACAAAGTTCTCAGTATTCTTTTCTAGCAGCATCTTCTCCCTTTCTTGTCATACTTTTTTCCAGAGACCTTTGCCCTTGGAGTCTAAAAACTTTGCCCTTGAATTTTTGCTACTCCTAGGACTCATCTGACTATCACCCACAGGCCTCTTCTTAGCCTGAGAAAAAATTCAGTTTCAAATAGATCCTTTTCTACTAACACTGGAGGGAAAATCCCTCACCTTGCCTAACCCAGGAGAATTGAAAACAAGACTTTAAAATAGTGTTATAGTAAATATTCCTAACAGTGCTACTTATCATAGCCAAAGGGTGGGAACAGCCCCAATGTCCATCAACTGATGGATGGCTAAATAAAATGTGTTGTGTCCAAACCACAAACTATTTATTAGTCAGCTGTAACAGGGGAAAAAATACTGATTCACATCCACACAGATAAACCTTGAAAACATGATCCATAAAATAAGCCAGACACCAGAGGGCAAGCGTGATTCTATTTATAGGAAATGGTCTCAGCAGGCAAATGAACAGAGACAAAAAGAGAATTAGTGGTTGACAAGATCTAAGAATAGGAGAGAATTCAGAGTGTGTATTGTTGGGATGAAGTTCCTTTGGGGATGACAGACTCTAGAATGAGGTATTGATGACGTTTTCATAGCTTTTTGAATGTACTTTAACCCATCGAATTGTATAGTTTGAAATGAGTAAAGTGCCCAGACACTGTGATGCGTGCCTGTAGCTTTGGCACTTGGGAAGGTGAGGCAGGAAGCTGGCAAGTCTGAAACAGTTCTGCCCTACATAGTGAGGCGTTTTCTCAAAAGAAACAATAGTTAACATGTTGAACTTCATGCTATATATATGAACAGTTTTCTTTGTGTGTGTGGTTTTTCTAGACAGGGTTTCTCTGTGTAACAGCCTTGGCTGTCCTGAAATTTACTTTGTAGACCAGGTTGGTCTGGAACTCACAGAGATCCGCCTCCCTCTGCCTCCCAAGTGCTGGAATTAAAGTTGAGCACCACCACACCTGACCGTGAACTTTTTTTTAATGATATGTGAACTTTAGCTAAGTAATAAGTGGAAATATGATGGGGGTGAATGTGATCAAAGAACATTGTGTCGAAGTATGAATATGTCCTTGTTAAACTCAGTGCTAGGTACACTGAATGTTTGTCACTAAAAAAGGAAGAAGGAATCATTAAAATACTAGCCTATCTTGTGACTCCATTCTTTTAGAGCCATGTGATAGACAGCTAACCTCCTAGGCCAAAATGTTAACAGTGAGAGCATTTCACTATCAGCTCTCCAAGAAACAATTTGAGTACAAAGCCAACAGTGCAATTCTATGGCATAATAATAACAATAGTGTTTTGTTAACTGTCTCAGATGTTCCTAATACTGCCAACTTTCTATATTAATGAACTCCATAACTCTAGATTCTACCAATCACAGATGCATATTAATCTGTGGTTCTCACTTGTAGTCTTAGTTACTTTGGAGGTTGAGGCAGAAGCGCTTCTGAAACTCGGGAATTCTAAACTAGTCTATGCAACATAGTGAGAAACTACCTAAAAACAATCTAAAAGTGTCTGTATTAACTGTAGGCATACTTTTTATCCTTTTTGCCTTTCCCTAAGCAGTAAAGCATAGCTATTTGTATATGATTTAGGTTATTGTAAGTCATCTAGCCTAGACTCTACACAAGCGCTCCAACATTGTCTACAAATGATCAAGTGTTGTGGAAGATCATAAAGCCAACCACATACCCACCTATTCCTCTCCTGGAGGTCAAATATAGCTACAGAATCCTTCTCAATAGCATTCCAAACAAGCAGCCTCTGTTCCTGATCTCATCCAAAAAAAGCTGAGACCTCTGAGTCACCATTCATCCTTGATTTGACTGAACAGCTCTGCCCTGTTTTTCTGACAATCCATCAGGCATACATCCTCATTTCTGGTTAGAAAATCCTGTTTTTACTTATGTGTGAGTTTTATGAACAAAATGGGGAGCTATTATGGGATGGATTGAAAGGATATGTACCTCATCTTTCAATTTATACCAAATAGCCCAGAGTCAGCTCAGCCTATCTGCCAAGCCAGCCATGGCATCTGTCAGTGTTTAACTTAAGCTGCCCACCCCAACTCTCATTTCCTCAAGTGCCACTTTGTAACAGTGATCTAGGCCAGATCCCTTAAGTGTGTGTGTGTGTGTGTGTGTGTGTGTGTGTGTGTGTGTGAGAGAGAGAGAGAGAGAGAGAGAGAGAGAGAGAGAGAGAGAGAGAGAGAGAGAGAGAGGGCAGGGGAGGGAGGGAGAGAGAGAATATATTGTGTGTGTGTTCATATATTTGGGGAAGGTAAAAAAAAAAAGGCTACAATAAACTAGCAGGCCTTGTTCAGATAACTGGAAAGGCAGAGGGGAGAGGAGGGTAAAAAAATTACAGAAATGGAAGTGAACTGAGCCAAGGAGTCATCCAGCTGGCCAGTGGACCTTAGATCTCTACACTGTGTCTTGTTTGGTAATAAAGTCGGCATGGGTGAAAG